CTTCATGTGACCTCAGGGATTCTAGGGCTTGCATGTAGTGGCATGTACCGTACGTGTCCATAGAGGACATGTTCGTCGGGCTGCTGGTTTGGTCTTTCGTTGGCGGTTGACTTCATACGTGACTCATCGTGACTCAGTACCCTTTCGGCCAAACGGGTTGGACAGATGGGATCAAGTGGGAAAGCCAGTGGGTCATTTGATGCTGTTAGTTTGGAACCGACCACCCTTTGGAAGGTAGGTTCCCCTCCTGAATTCCCAAAGCTTCTCTGGGGACTTTTGAAGCAGAAGCTGCGCAAAGCGAGCTCTTTTTTATTCAGGGCAGGCGGCTTCCCTTGGATTGACAAGTTTGCACCTCTTCATGGTAAGTCGCATTGAATTGGCACTCAGTGTCCTGGACATTTTGCTGCTTGGCATTCCAGATTCATGAGTCATGAGTTTGTCTTGGATGTTTTCAGATACAGCAGCTGTGCTGCCCAGGCCTTCCCTTTCGTTACCTGGACTTTGACTTCCCCAACTTGGACGCAACACCACAGCAGGCCTTTGGCAGCCGACGACTCCCGGTTTCATCGCTGTTTTCAAGGACAAGTACTGCATGTTGCGCGTGACTTCGAAGGTGTTTGGAAAGATATATTGTTACGACTTCCAATGTTTGGAACCATGGTGTATTTCTCATGTAACATCAAACAACGTCAAACAACTACCGGGATTCCGGGATGGCACAGATTCTTTTCATCCCTAGCTCTCCAGCTTTGCCAGGCTGTCCTGCTTCGCCTGCCAGAGCTTGCGCAGCAGGTGGCGCCTAATGCCAAGGACTTCCTCGTCGAGGTGTGGAAGGGGATGGATGTGGGATCGAGTAATATATTGGATAGGTGTACACACAACCTCATACGGTACTCATACGCCCAAAAGCATCCAACTGCCATCATAATACTTGCTTGTGTGTGTGTTTGTTTTGAGGAGTTGTATGATGTAGTGGCAAGAGGTTGTGCTCAGACATTGCTCAGACCTGTTTCACCTTCAGATGTGTCTTTTTTCATACACTGGAGGTTTGTTGCAGGGGACACGGCGGTCCCAGAGCACCAAACACATCGTGACGCTCCCAAAAAAGAAGACGGCCCCTACTGGGAGGGTTCTTTTGTCAATCTGATGGGCGACGCAGACGGAGTTGGAACTTCCATCCTTCGCCTTTCAACCCGGTCCGACCGGGCCTTGGGAGCGACCGGGCATGTCGACCGGGTCGGATGGAACAGGTGGTGCTGCACCAGGGACCTGTGCTGCGGAGGGTGGAGGCGGAGAAAATGGGTGAGTCGGAGGAGAAGTACCGGCAGTAGTACAGTAGTACAGGCTTCCTATTTTGTTCCTTTCAGGAGCGAAAAATGAGCAAACACAAGTCCGTGTGATCATTCGGAACAGTCTTCCCTAATGAAAAGCCAGGAACCATGAGGTGTTCAATGAATCCTGTGCGAGATGTGTGTATTGGTATTGTTGTAGGATTTTGTGGGATTTGTTGTATACATATTTGTCATTGTTTTGTTGTCCATCATTTCGGCTGAGTGGTTGACACGTTCCAAAATCTGCAGACAGCACTCCTACACTCGGACTTTTCTCTCAGTGTTTGTTTTGGAGGTGAAGTATCGAAACGGAGGAACACTTCCAGAGGTTTGCTGGTGCGCCTCCGACCTAGAAGCGGCCTCCATCCTAATAGCGATGGCCCTCCAACTAAATAGGATGGCCCTCCAACCAGAGACGAAAAAGGGTTCAAAGCCTTTTGCGCTCGGTCGACGGATGTGTGCATTTTTGGGATGTGGAGGACCAATGGTGTTTGGTCTATGTTCCTTCTTCCAGGGGGTTGAACTGGGAGGTCTCCATATACTAACTAATCCAAGTGTACTTGAAAAGAACAATGATGCTATCAGTAGGATGAGTCGAAACTGTCGCTTTTCCGAAGCATTTGAGCTTGCCTATCTACTATTTACTGCAGAGGGTCCTAACCGAACCTTTCCGGTTGGAGTGGCTACCCCAAATCATGTTTCATCTATCAACAACTGGTAACATCGGGATAACATCGGGGTCCATGTGGATCTTGGCTGGGACAATCAATAAGCCCCACACTGAAGGCTTTGGACGCTCTGGGCGTTTCAACCTTTGCATTTGTTTCATGATTCATGAAGGGTGACAGTCATTGCAGCTCCAATGAAACTCGTGGCACCGGCATCATGAAGGGGCATCCTTCGAGGTCACTGCGGTGCCCCAGCCCAGCGTGGTCGATCGGAAGATCCGCTACTTCGAGGCCGGGGGGTGGCATTCGGAAGGTCCGTCCGTCTGTCCGTCGGTCCACGGCAGACAGAGCGACTCAGTCGCTCTGTGAAACAGCGTGTGGTGTCGGAGAGGGGCAGAGGAGAGTTTCCGAAACGGGAAGGTCACCGGGCAAGATTTGACTCTATGAATCACTGGGGGCGCAGGGGACTTGATCTACAGTTTAGCTGGGAACGGGAAGTTTCTTGGGCATTCTGCCCCTGAGCTCTTTTGGGCGTTCGATGAAGACGTGTTATCCTACCGCGAGTTTTTCGCAGTTTGGAAGTTGATTTCTGTTGACGATATTGGAAGGAACAACAAGGTGTGTTTCAGTCAGTCTTTGCCCCCGAATGTGCCAGGCTGAGGGTGCTGCTGTGGAGAAGGCATGCCTTTTGCCCGCCGGGGGAGAAGACGAGGGGACCGAAGCCATGAGCCATGAACGGTCCACAAGGACTTCCGTCTAAAGGTGTGGGTGATTTCTTTTGGTTGCAGTGGATCGAGTCGTCACTGTGGCCAGTGGTTCTGGTGTATAAATCAAACACATAATATATGTAGTAGACTCAGTAGACATCAAATGTAGACCTTCAAACCCTGATTCCCCAACAGATCGAATGGATTTGGCTTGGGTGATAGACCGGACCTAGTACCGGATGTTCTTTATCGAGCTGATCCTGGCAGCCAGTGGGTTCAAGTTTGGACTTGAGTCGAGATGCTGATGAAAGACCAGTTTTCATATGTTTTCATGTTTTCGTCCACAGATCTTTGAGAACCCCCCCACCCAGAAAGCCCTCCACAAATCTCACCCCCCTTCTGGTCTGTTCTCTTTCCGAACTCAAATGAACTCATGAGAAACTTGTTGAAGGAAATCTCGCCTCCTTCCATCTCCTCACCTAGTTACAATCCACTTCTGATCGAAGGTCATGGCCTTGCCGCCTGTGCCGCCCTCGTTGGACCCACCCAGCCGTGGCACAGCGTGTGTCGTTCAGACGGGGTTTTGGGTTCAGACGGGTCTATTCCAAAGGCCCCATGAAAAGTGAACGTGATTTCATGTACATTGTACTATCGTTTGTAATTGTTTGTTTTTGAACAAAAGACATCATGGGAATCATGCTTTGTTTGGCTCATGAGGGTCCATGCACCTCCCAGAATGGTGATTTCGCTTCCCGGAGTTGGGGTCATCGTACTTGTTAGATTGTGAGTTGTTCAAATCAGTCTGTGTCCGGAAGCTCCAAGATGGAAGTTGTTCCAGAAGCTACAATTTTCACCTCTCTGGTGGGCAGTAAGGACCTTAGTTCTTTTTTTGGATGAGGAAGCAGAAAGATCAGAGGATCATGTGAACATGTGGATTGTGGATGATCCTGTATTTTTAAGACAGGCACATGGTCACGGTGCCTTTGTAAGATTTGGGTCATAGGCTTTGAGACACACAATGTGGTTGTGGCTCCAACCACAGGACCCAGGAAACTAAAGGCCGTAGTTGTTTTTTTCACGTGGATTTGGCATGATCTCTTTGTGCCATAGCCATAGATGCCATAGCAGCTATAGCCACAGCCATAAACCTTGTCGTGAAAAGCGCACGACTCCAGCTACTAGGAACAAGGGCATCGCTACTAGTAGCCACTATGAACAAGAAGCTACTAGTAGCAAGGACGCTACTAGTAGCTCCTGGCCTTACTACGTAAGAAGAAGCCACTAGTCACAAAGGGCATCGCTTTCCTCACGTAGCGATCGGACGACTCCTGGCTTTGAGGTCTTCCTCAGGGACTTGCTTTGCCTACTGCACCAGCAGAGATGCGCCTCGGCCGCCGTTCGCGCAGACCGCTCCGGCTCGAAGGCTCGGTGTGGAGTCACTGTCGGTTGGCCGAGTTAGATGGCACAAGTACTTGTGCCTCCAGGATGTCTCTCATTTGTTTTGGGGTCCATGATAATAATATGTAAACCACCGAACTTGGCGGCCCAGACGTGGCATCGAGCCTCTGAAAACCATGCACTATATGCCATGTCTTCAGATTGTCCCGCCTGTCGCGGAGTTCAGGGGGCTTTGTGTGGTGAGTTTGGATAAGTCTGGATAGGATGGGGTCTAGTGATTCTCGCGCTGCAGTGGAACATATAGTAGGCAACCAGGGTTTGACATCTGCGTGTTTTGTCTTTGGAACACTGATTTCTACCTTGGCTGCACGGTTCTGACCGACCAAATCGCTGAAAACCGCCGCCTGCAAAGGTACACATTCAACGCCGGGATCAGGCAAGATTGGGGAGGGTTTCCAAGCGACAAAACCATTGTTGAGCCAACGCAGGTTTTCATGATGCTGAACATGTATGAACAAGCTACATGTTGCTTTGTTTGGCGTTGCTGTTTGAAGTAACAGTGGAACCGGAGCTTTGGGTGAACCCTGATTATCCTTTCAAGCATGTCCACAATAATGCGAATAATGATAGGTCACAAATGGCTACACAAACTCGGTTTCAATCATCAGATTCTCGCCAATTTCGCTCTTTTCGCTCATCTCATGCGACTCACCCTCCAACCAACATGGAAGTGGAAAACCGCCTGTTTCTAGAGAGGAAAAAGTATATGTTCCGGTCACGAAAAAACATAGCCATGTAACATCACATGATCATGATTCCTTTGGGCTCATCTCCTGATCACCGGCTCGTCTCCTTTGGGCTCAGCGGTTCCCGCTGCGCTCCGAGCTGCGGGCGCCATGCAACTCTCGCGTTCGGAAGCGTCACTGACGCGGGCGCCCGGAGCTGCGGGAGCTGCGCCGGAGCCGAGGGCTCTCAACGCGGGCGTGCGGGTGGGGCGTGCTGGTGGCCCTGTGCGCAGTGGAGTTGGAGAGGAGAAGCATGAGGAGGCCAGTGGGCTTGGCTGCTGTGTGCAGGAGATGTGGGATGTCTGGGTTGAAATTGTTTTTTACGCTTTGTGAATGTGACATTGTAGTTCTTTTGCAGGGATTTCAATCGTTTTGCTGTGTTTGCTCACCATGCAGAGGTAGACAGGGCAATGATACTGGTATTGATTCCTGTCAATTACAATCAATTACATACTGCAACATTCTGGAACCAGCTCACCACCGCGATAGAACCAATCACAGGTGCCAGCTGCGGCTCAGACCGTCCGTCTCCGTCGTCGGTCTCCGTCGGTCTCCGTCCCCGTCGTCTTCGGGTCCCGTGCCGAGGTGCTTTGGAAGATGCAGCGACAACTGCAGAAGGCGGAGACGATGCTCTCAACCTGTGACTTGCCGTGAGGTTACCTGAGATGAGGCATGACATGGAAAATTGGTGGGTTTGAACCATTCAATGAACCATCAGTAAGTAGTTAGAAATAGGGAGGCAGGCACTCCAGCTCATGAGTTTGATTGTTCAATTTTAGTTTGCTGCAGCCAAGCACAGAACATGGGTGGAAGAAACGTCCACTGAAGCAGAAGGCCAGATGTCAAAAAAGAGAACAAACAAACAACCAAACAAGCAAGCAAGCAAACAAGCAAGCAAACAAACAACGTGACATGCCAGTCTTCCCGACCATCTCAACTGGAAGACCATAAGATTGACATCTCATTATGACATGCAAGGGTCCTGTGACATCGGCTGGTCAGTCTTGAATGACGACTTATCAATGGGAGTTGGGAATGTGTCTGTTGAAGCTGCAGGATGGTGTGATGTTGGGAGCAGCCGAAGTATGATAGAGTTTCATGAGATGTTGGTGTGTTGTAGTGGCCGTCAAGGATGTTCGAGGATGTTTGACTCATGACCTTTCTGTTCTTAGAATATATTGATGATCTGAGGATGATGGGCTCCAACACTTGCCTTCGGATCAGTATGCTCCGAACCCCCAACCAAGAGTGGGTCATGAATTCTTAGGGAACCTTCCTACGCATCATGGTAAACTACTGCCTTGCAAACTGCAAGGTGTCAAATAGGACATAAATGATGTGCCCATCCAGTGCAAGGTGTCAGGGCACAGAAGTGCTTGGTGAATTCAGCGGTCGTGTTTGACCCGGGACCCAGATGGTCGCCTCGCAGTTGTTCGCCAAGTCGTCAAACATGACTCGACCCGCATCGATCCGAAAGAGAGACAACCAAAGCAATCTACCTAAAACCCACTGATAGTGCATCCTTTGAACACCAATAGAACGTAAATGCAGTTACCGTTGGTTCCGAGGTGCACATCCAGAGCCGGTCAAACCTTGACAAGCTGATTTCATCCTCAAAGTCCGTTGATCCGTAGGGCATGTCGTCTCCCATATATGTGCGGCCGAGGCATGCAGACAGTGGAAGCCGCTTGGGAGATGTCGGCGCAGAAGTTGGCAAAGTTTGACGAGCCGCTTTGCAATGTTTCGATGGAGGGCATTGGTGGTGGTGGATCTTGTGTTTTTGGTGCAAGGGCAAGGGGCGATGTTTACCAGTTTTTAAGTATTACCTTTAATATGCCTTTTGCCGTATGTTGAGCATTTGTTGATGCTTGTGGAGAGATGTTTGCTAAGGTGTTGCATAAAAGGGTTTTTGGAGTTGGGAGATGATGAAATGCATGCGCAGCAAGGGATCCAGGTCGGGTAGGTTCTGACGTGCAAAAGGGGAGCGAGTCTTCGACCATCCTCGACCCGGGTGGGAAGTCCCCTTTGAAGTCTCACAAGTTTGGGGAAAAAGATGGACACATTGAGGAGATATCATTGATTTTGGCGATGGATAGCAGTTATTGATCACCAGCACCAAGGCTGTGTCAATTTGACGACCCACCGTGGCCAGCAAAGACTGCAGGTTCGGCTAGAAACACATCCCCTTTGCAAACCTCTTGGCCATGGTGAAACTTGTGGGCGGTGTGAATCTCTTCCTACATAACAAAGTACAGATGTCATAGGAACCGTAGCAGGTCGGATTCCCCCCAATGGTCAACCTCCACCTTTGTGGGGGATTTGTTATTTCTTCTATATATATATATATAGTCGCTGAATATGTGGGATTGGACGGTGGACGTTAAAGGAATCCGAAAAGGTCAGTCTATCTGACAGAACTGCGCCACCGCGCTTGGATCTAGCCACAAAAAAATTACTCTACTTCGAGGCGATTTGTTCGGATTGACACGATGTTCTGACGCTTGTTCTGGCATCAAGTCCGGTTTGTGCTCTGACACGTCATCTATCATACAGGCTGGGAAATGTTCTGGACTGTTCTGACATCTCTGACATTTTTTCTGTCTGACATGTGATGTGACATGATGTGACACATGGATCATCTTCAGTCCTGGTATGTGTTCTGCCATCAAAGATTTCCTGGCACTCTATCTGGCACAAAATCGGACATTGTATATGTCATATGCTCTGAGTTATATCTGGCGAAATTTCAGGCATTCTATGTACCATTGCTGTCTACTTGGCATATATTCTGACATTCAATCTGGCAAGGTCCGGCGGTGCTCACTGCGATCAGGAGCTGACGGTTGAGGTCCGGCAGTGCCCACTGTGATGTGGAGCTGGCGGTAGAGGTCCGGGAGTGCCCACTGCGATCTGGCGCTTGCTGTTGAGGTCCGGTAGTGCTCACTGCGATCCGGCGCTTGCTGTTGAAGTCCGGCAGTGCCCGCTGCGATCTGGCGCTTGCTGTTGAGTTCAGCCAGTGCCCACTGCGCTCTGGCACATGCTGTTGGAGTCCGGTAGTGCCCACTGCTTTCACGCACTTGCAGTTGAGGTCCGGTATAGCGCCAACTGCGATCATGCACTGCATGTGCAATATTTGAGGTATAGCCCATTGCGATCTGGAGCTGGCAGTTGAGGTGCGGTAGTCAAGAAGACGAGGACACCAGAAGAGGAAGGAGAAGAGCTCTGATAGATCCAACAACCCTCACCTGCCAGGTGGGGAGTCAAGAAACAAGCAAGCTGCTTGGCCCTTGCTAACCGCTCACTTCCTTCTGCCTTCTTCGCTTCATCAGGAAGCTGTCCGAGTTGGATGGCCGACTCTTGCTCCTCAATGACAAGCAGCAATTGGATGCGGCCTCGCTGTCCGTGAACGCGCTCCCCGCAACGCCGTCCATGGAGCCCCTCACTGTGGTCACTCGATTGGCGGCGTCGAGTGAGCAGCTTTCACCAGGACGAAGCGGAACAGAGGGCCTGTGTTGGCTTGAGGAGTTTGAGGACATGTGAGGACCATACTTATTTGCGCCAAAAGCTTCATTATTGAGGATATGTTTGGCTCGGTTTAGGTCGATCATAACTCTGGTGCCCTCAATCTTGCATCTTCGCAACAAAAAACTTCCCAGCACCTCCCTGCATCCACCTTCCCCTTTACACCGCCAAGGCGTCGAAAACCGCGCCGGTGCCCAGCGACCTGTTCCACCACAGTTCGCGGCTGAGTTCGCTGGAGAATCGCGTCGTGGAGCTGCAACAGCGCTTGGACGCCACCCCCAGCTCCCACGTCCAGGACCGGGCGACGGGCGGGCAACGGGCCGGACCGGTTTCTCCTCGGTGAGGCGCTCGTTGTGGACCATGTGGTGTTGTTTTGGAAATGGTTGGTTTCAGCAAGAGGGCAAGCACCTAAACCTATATATATATATTTTGGATATAATTTGGGTCTGTCCTATTACCTGTAACAGTCGGTAAACAATTATCAATAAAAAAACAAAACATGAGAAAACCCTTTACTAACCATCACCCATTGTTACTGGTAGTAGGATAGACCCAACATATACTGTATTTGTGAATCGTTTGTTGCAACTGACAGTTGCAACTGACATACGTGGAAATCGACCATATGTGTCAAAATATGTCAACATTGCCTTGTTGAAGACATTGCAGCTGACAATAGACAATTGGGGATCAGCATGATGAGAGCCAAAAACCGACAGACTCATAGAACACACCAAGTATCTTGGAACATGGGCACAAGATGGCACAAAATGTATATACAGTTGTTTTTTGTTTGGGTCATACCCCATTTTCCAGGTTTGGAGCTCAAAAATTGTAAATCACCTCCCTCCATCACCCACTTAGGACCCACTTCAACCTGATAGCACTGCAGCATTGCCCATCATAGGACCAAAGGGTACCCGTTGGACAAAAGCTTCCTAATTAGTGACATCCAGCGTATGAAGACTCCAGAAGCTTTCCAGAGTTCTACCCAGCCAGGTCTCGCCGACCTTTGTCAACACCATCCCCTGCCTGATCCCAGCCAATCGCCTCCATACCCGATTTGTCAACACAAGCACCACATGAGCAAGTTTCAATCCTCGCTGCAATCTACCCCCGATTCAACTTGTCGACTGGTCAAACCTCACCCCAAAAAAGAGCTACATACCAATTCCAAAACTCACCGCTAAAATTTCTCCCCCGGTCCCATTGATATACCTATGAAGCCAACACCTCATTTGTTTTGTACTTTTTGGGCCATATCGCCAGGATGAGCGGAAGCAGATGGAGAGCCTGGACTTCCTCAACCATCGCATCGCATCGCTCTCCGAGCGCCTCAGCGCCGAGGCCAAGGTCCGCGAAGCCCAGTTCCGACGCCTGGAAGCGCTGCTGTCGCTCGGACGGTTGGAGCGGATGGAGACGGTGGTTTCAAGTGTTTTCTATGGGTTTTCTGGACTTGCACACGTCATCATGAATCATTATTCTCATCTCTGAAATTCAAAATGCATAAAATTATCGCAGGGGGTGCCCGGGATGCAACACTGGACTGGCAACAACGAAGATGACATCTGTGAAATCGATCCGGGATGCTGGACCGATGTACCTGCCTGGTGTTTGGCACTAAAGGTCTGATGCAGTAAAGCGCCAAGTTCACTCACCGAATACTTAATGTGCGATGCTCCTTCCGAGCTTCATCTCAAACAAGGGGGAGTGGGTTTGCCTTTGAGGATGAACACTACTTCAACCAGAAGAGGTTGATTTCGGGGACATATTGTTTTGATTCATTTTCGAGGTTCAAGGAGATTCACAAACTATTCTGTTCAAGACGGGTCAAGGGCTTTGATCTAACACGAGTTCGTGCTATGATGGGCACCTTGCAGCCACTTGCAGCCTATTGTATACCGCATAGCCGCATATCAATCATTCCAGCTTGCTGGGACGGCTGCCTGTGTCTCGTCTATGTTGTTTCTCCGAAACAGATTCCTCCCCTCCCACGATCCGCTCCTCACTCCCAGGCTGAAGCCGGCGCCCGCGGCGCCCGTGTCTGCTTCGCCCCTGCGGGCGCACAGTGTGGACCACACGCAGTCGATGCCTTCCCTGCCGAGCCGGAACCTCTTCTTGGAGGCAGAAGCTGAGCTGTGGGACGTTGTGGAGAAGAATCCGGCAAAGGGACAAAGAGACGATTGGACTAGTGGGGGTATAAGGTGTGTGTTGTTTGATCCAAAGACCCCAAGCTAGTGCAAGATGAACTTCCTTGGCCAGTGGATGCTAGTAAGCTCGTTTTCTTCGACAAGAGCAGTTTGCTGGATGATATGGGGTGTTTGATTTACTGCCTAGTGGCTGCTGCAGCTCAACAATGGTTGTCCCGGATCCAAGGGATACATTGGCACATGAATTGAATGGTCCAATTGTTTTCTATACCGAGGCTTGGGGGTGTCGCACATCGTCTCTTACACAGTCAGTGGTAATGTTTTCTGGTGGGATTTGCTCATCAGATTCCAGCTGTTTGTCATGAGTAAAGATACCACGGAAGACAAGTCCTCCTCCTCCTCCGTCTCCTCCTCCTCCTCCTCATCATCATCATCATCATCTCCTTGGATGGGCAAAGCAACCGGCATGCATCTAAGATGTTTCTCAACGCTGAAACCTCTCGGACCGAAATCCCAATCCGTGGGTCGGTCCACGTGGGTCGGTCTCGGATCGCCAAGTCGACCAACTGTGAGGCGATGGAACCCAAAGTGGAACCCACGGCAGCGGTGCCGGGTTTCGAAATGCGGGGGACCGGGAAAACACCAGGGAGGAGCGTGTGGGTTGGACCATCCATCCACTTGAGGTGAAATCCTTTGCAATAGTTTCTGCGAAAGTCTACAGGCTGACAGCTCGGCATCGGAATGTTTTAGTTCAACGAACGTCAAACTGGACTATCCCTGCTTAGTGGTGACGAGAGTATCCTTCCCTGTTTTTCTGTGTTTTTTTGTTTTGCACGCTCAAGTGTTGAGGCTGTTTCTGGTTGTGAAACTCTTGTCTTGTAGGAGAGGGAGGGCATCACCTGCACAAACCTTGAAGTTTCACAGGTCAACAGTTATTGACAGTCCACAACAAGGGTTAGTGGGGTTTGTCGAAGCATTGTAGCTTCCATTTCGGAGGTGAGAATAAGCGACCACACGTTTTTTGTCGACAACTGTCCAGATGATCCCCAGGCTTCATGACCTTTCAAAGCTCCAAACCAATCCAACAGAATCAGAGTCTTTCGAGAGTCGACAACACCAGACTTTTCAGGTCTTGCCGCAACGCATTCTTCGCCCTCGCTTCAGGTCTTGCCTACCTTGCCTCACTCTGTTTCTCCGTCTCCGACCCGGCGGCCCTTCACGCCTCACGTGACGCCGCCCGGCGCGCGGCGCGATCTGGTTCCCGTGGTACACGTGCCACGGGATGCGCCGCGCACGCCGCGGTGCTCGCCGGCGCCGCCATACAGGAGACTGGGGCTATATATAAACATATATAAACCGTATGAACGAGGCTGATTGGTTTCTTTATGTTTCTTTTGATGGACGACTTCTGCATGTTTGCTAGTTAGAAGTGGTACAGTGGTATTTGAGGAGATTTGAGGAGTGAGTGTGTCAAGTTCCAACTACCCAAAGATGGACCTGTCAGATCGCACAAAAACACCCGAGGAGACCCTCACCCATGCGAATGGACGCAGCGGGGTATACGTTGCTGCCGCACCACGTGAAGGCACAGCGGGAACCCATCAAGGACCGGCGCGCACTACGACCTTTTGTTGCACGGAGTGGAGGCAAAGCAGGACGTTTTAAAGATCTCCACGAAAAAACAAGCGAAGTGAACAAAACATTATTACATATTATGTATCTTTTTGGGGAGAGGAAGCGTGAGGAAACAACCTGTATGGGCGTCGCTTAACGCGTGTTTGGTCGATGTTCCACAGCCGAACCAGGTGTCCTTGCCAGTGTCCTTGCCTCGTTGGAGCAACATGTTCCAACCAAAAACGCACTGTCACACTGTCCGGACGTAATTGCCATGTAATTACCCTTTCTCTTTCACCATTTTTGTTGCTTCAATGTTGAGTTTTAGTGCTTAGTTTGCCTTACATCCATCATTTGACGAAATGGCGTCCTCTTTTTAACCACTGTTGTGGCCAAAAGAAACGAACAATGATCCATCAGGAGTACTTGGTGGCCAACCCTGTGCCGGTGCAGCACTTTACGCTCGAGACCAAGCGCTGAGATGGTTCGAAGAGTCGCGATGGCCCAAAGCATGGCCTCGCGACCGCAAGTTAAGCTGAAGCCAGAAATCGCGAACTCCAAAGAACAAGCCACACTCCTACAAGACACTATTTTCAGCCCGTGGCCATGCCTCCTTAATTAAGTTGGCACCGACTTAATTAAGGGAGTAAGCTCCTATAGCTACTTAAGGTACTACAGATGGACGCAGGATAGCTCACGCATCTCCAAGGAAGCTCTTGCACGTAGATGTTTAGGGAAACTTAACAAACATACCAAAATGCCCACACTCCTCTTAACATTCCTGGCCCCGCCCTTGTTTGGTTTCATGTTTCATGTTGTGACACGGTGTTTTCCTGAAGAACAAATCCGATATATCAGGTCTAAGGATTTCAGACTGCAAGACCAGGTCAACCGTTCCACGTACGTTCCACGTACGTTCTTTATTTCTTCGAGGTGAAACCCATGCGTTCTGGTGTTGGAGTTTGAGGGGTCCGAAAAGTGGTGATTTCCCCTGTCTATTTGTTGCAATGTGACACTGTGTCCAAGATTGGCCGGTTTCGGTTTGAGCTTTCACGTGTCAATGCTGGCTGCCCCCGCGTGTCAGCCACGCCGGGCTTTCCTCAGAAAAGGTGCGGAGTCCTGCGCTGCGTTGAATGCACAGTTCTCACGGCGCCAAATTCAGTCCAACATCAGATTAGGATTTTACAGTGGATCTCTCCATCAGATTTCTGCGGCCAGATGTTGGAAATGCCTCAGATTGGGATTTTTCCTCACAGCTATTGAGAGATCAATTCGCTCCTTCTTCCTCGCAGAAGGAAGGAGAGTGCTATCAAATGGCCAAGGAACCCGTTCAGAGCTGATCCCAGATGTTGAGATGATTTGGATTTGGGCAGTTTGTTCAGAAGGTAGCTGGGTGCCACTTGGGTTGTCCCCACCAACCAGTTTGCAGTCCAACAATGACTAGCATAGTTTCAGTAGGGATTCGGATGATCCCGAATCAACACGTGTCGCACGGATTTGACTCCGCAACGTTCGCATTACAATGCTTTTTGTGCGATCCATGGTTTTGTCGAAGCCTTCAGTGCCACCAGTGGCCTGAAACCAGGTGAAACCACTGGCCCCCACAATGATTGGACAAAAAATGACACGGATCGTGAGTCACTTGAGTAGTTTGGGGTAGGGACCCTGAGGTCCCTGAGGTCTGAAGCTGTAAGCTGGTTGCAGCACCAGTTCCCCGGTGCATCTGGTGCATGTGAAACACCCAAGTCTTTCAGACCGATGCCCCCACACCGTGCTGTGCTTCAGTGACCCGACCCACAGCGCTCTCGGCCAGGAGGAGGTGTCGTTGCGCTTCCTCGCTCCAGCATCGCCAAATGTGCCACTTGGTGGTCGGAAAGATTGCAGCTATGGCGTAGAGGTGGGAGCCATGCAGAATGATTTGCAGACCAATCAATGCTGATCCATTGGTGTCATTCGCAGGAACAAACGTGTACCTCTATTTGTTCAGGTGCTGCCGGATCGTGTCACACGTAGCGCTCACCGGCCGGGCCGGGCGGTTTTCGTCCATGGTTTCAGAGGTTCGACAGGACAAGTGACCCCAAGCTTCGGTGCCATGGATCCTCCCATCTTGATACATCATCCAAATGGTGCCGAATGGCCTGGAGAGTGAGGCGCCAGACCACTGGTGCTGATGTTTCAATTGGTGCAATCTACTCTGAAACCACTGGTCAGACGGATCAGAGTTGTATGTTTTGGTGCAATCACGGATGACATGGAAGAGGATCAAGACATGGATGAGGCCTCTCCTCGATCCGAAAGATCCTGTATGAGGCTTTCGTAGATGTGAAGATAAACTAAAGATAAGACTTCTTCTAGATGTCCGCGATAGATTTGGTGGGTGGTGCACACATACATCTACCCCAATATCTTTAAACAAAGAAGCTGTTATCCTGGCTGTAAAAGCCCTTCCCATGATTTTGGTTGTTGCAGGCGTTGGGTTAAGATGTGTCGAGATATATCCAGTGCACAAATGGTATGGCCTGCTGAAAACCAGTATTCCTTGCTGTTTGGCCAGGTCTACCCCAAAACCAACCACTATCCGCTCACTATCCAGTGCACAAATAAATGGTGTGGACTTCTGAAAACCAGTATTCCTTGCTGTTTGGCCAGGTACTCGTACACCCCAAAACCAACCACTATCCGCTCACTATCCAGTGCACAAATGGTGTGGACTTCTGAAAACCAGTATTCCTTGCTGTTTGGCCAGGTACACCCCAAAACCATCAACTATGTTTCTCAATAATTGAGTGAGCCCAGGCCAACCCACATGAGTTCAATGTTTGCCATGCAATCTGTTGGGCAGATGGGCAGATGTCATCTTTTAGACCTATATCATAGAAAATAGAGCTTGTATTCATGAATATGCTCATTGTATATAGTGGCCATATTGTTGCAGTTTTAGGCGTATATGGTAGGGGTATACCTCCAATCATCATGACACATCATATGATTCATTGCAAATGATGTTGTACAAAGTAGTGGAGAATAGCAGCAATACAGTTTACCTCCTTCGTCGTTATTTGAACATTATGTATTTGAATTCAAACATTCCGTACTTGCAGCGAAGGGGGTTGTGCTGAAACGGCAACAGGCTTGTGTTCCAACGTTTACACGTCCGACTCGGTGTGAGTGAGTGGTTGTTCTCGTTTGGCACTCAAACATGTGGCGAAACAATGACTCAAACAGAAGGGACCCCATCCACTGAGTGGCACGACGTGTGGCGCGGGTCCGGCTCTTTGCGGAAACCATCTCCATTTCTAGCGTTCTTGTTCCGTTCGGGTCCGATGCGAACACGTCGGTTGGTTCGTACCGTCTCACTGACGTCGACGGTCGGCGAAAGCTTGCGCCGTCTCAGGCTCGCGTTCTTCGTGGTCTTCTACGGCGACGCGCACTTCGGCAGCCTGGTCCGGGTCTCCCAGACGCAGACCGTTCCCACGGAGGTGGTAGCTGCGGTGGTCGCCCCGGTGGCGGTGGTGGTTTCGTGGTCAGAACCGTGTGGTCCCGTGTCCGTCCCGCGCGTACCGTTGTTTAGCCATGGGCAGATGGATTGAGCAATCCCACACATATTGTTCTGCCTGATTGCCACCCTATAATTACTACCAATATGTATTTGGTTCACAGGAGGCAAATTCCTTCAAGTGCTCCTCTTAAACTGCACGTCTCAAAGAAAGATACGAGCCTTGGCTGCTTTGATAGGTCTTTGAATCATTGAAAGCTAAAACCGGAAAGTGCTCCGTCCACTTGGTCAAAGAGATTGGTTCTTGACCGAGTCGGATGCTAACTGAGTCGGTGTGCGAAACAAACGGTGTTTCGTCGTTTGCATCGCTTTTTGGTCGACGTGACTCGACGTGACTCGACGGTGTGTCACTTCTGGGCTAATCTGGGTCCCATGGTGTTCTGCCGGAGCTTTTGCTGGAAAGAAGTTTCTCAAGTTGGTGTCCCATGGTGTTTTTTACTCAACCTCGATAGCGTTAACTGTTGATTCATGATTCTAGTTGCTTGCTGTGGTCCCCACACACTTTTCTCTTGGAATGAAGCTGTTGCAGATCATCGCCGGAGATGGTGTTTTCTGAGTGAGATCATCCCGTGCATGGGTGACTCCACGCAAGAATCTGGCTCGCCATTCTAATAACTAATTCTTGTTTCTACTAGCTTCTTGTTAGCAGTAAGGCCCTTGCTCCTAGCAGTACGGCCAGGAGCCCCTAGTAGCGTCCTTGCTCTACTTAACCCATCTGAACCCGACCCGATGCTAAGCGCCATCTCAATCCGTTCCATCTCGATGACGTGGGGAGAGTGCCCTTGTCGAGCGCAATTCATGTGGAACAAAAAAGCACCTTAAAGGCCTAATTGGCCAGCGAGGCTTTTTGGCCCCCGCAGGAGTCAGATGAGTCAGTGACAGTGGTCATGTCGCCTCCCAATGCAAGAGTCTCCCATGGTCCTCGTTGGCAGAACCTCCTCGGATGGCAGCAATGACTCGTTCGAACAAATTGTTTGGACCTCGCTGGACCAGCCTCGCTGAGTGACCCGGGATCTCCACTGGACACCCAGACGATCAATGGTCGTCCGACTTTCTGTCCACATCCCAGTCGGGAGCAGTGATCGACATCAATGGTCGTGTAAGTCATTGGGGTGGTGGAAATCCACCAACAAAAACACAACATGTGTGCTTTTTGTGATATTGTATACAATCTCAATTGATTCAAGTCAGGTGGGTAGGGCACGACCAGGACCACGTTTTTTTTGATCCTCCATAAACCCTGAGAAAACCAGTTGAAGGACTATTAATTGTATATATAATATACCCTGCAATGTTCCTGTTTGCACTGGGGCTACCAGAACAAAACGCTTCCGACCCCAAGTTGTAAAGCGTGAACCTTGGCACCGTCCCTTGTTGTTCAGAATTTTCCTAGCCCTTACTAGTCATGATCCACCAGCTTGTGGGTGTCCAATCATGACAAGCTGGTCACCGGAAGACGGAACCAGCGAGGTCACCGGGCAAGCGAGCGCTGTTTCCCTGCCCAGGTGGCAGTGCAGCTGGTCGAAGTGCAAGGCTTGCGCACCGAGCGGATTCGCCTGGCTGAGACCTCAGTCCAACTCCTTGGGACCGGTTTTGGCCTTCGGAGCGGGAGTCCATCCTTGGGGTGACTGGTTTTCCACAGAACGGACGGGAACACACCATCGAAGCTTCGTTTTGGTGTTGGTGCCGGTCGTGCCGGTCGTGCCGGCAAGTTACACATGAAAGCACACGCGAAAGACCTGTCTCTTGGCTGATTCAGCATCAGATATCCACCACAGCAGTGAGACACCAAACGCACCAAAAGGAAGCGCTTGATTAATCTTGATTATTCTTGGGATTAATTATTCTGGGTATAGGGAATTGCCCAAACTAGTGATGCAACGACATCATGATGCAGCATTTCTCAGTCTTAAGTGGGACATCC